GCTCTAGAGCTCGGACATCTTTATTTTCGTCGCGTCGCGTCGTCGTTCGCCCCCCTCGCGCCCCTCCCCCCCTGAGACTCAACTCCCCTGGGCGTGCACCCCCCCCCCTGAGACCTAGGCCCCCTGGGCCACCCCCCCGCGGGCCCCTTGGCAGCCCCCCTCCGTCCAGGCTCCCCAGGGCTGCCCCCCTGGGGCCCCCCTTCCGCGCCCCCCCTCCCCCCCCCCCCTGACCTTGGCAGCTCCCCGTCCGTCCAAGCTTCCCAGAGCAGCCCCCCCGGGGCCCCCCCCGCGCACCCGCCCCCCTTGAAACCTGGCCCCCCCGCCCCCCCCCTTCCCCCGCGCGCCCCTTGGCGGCACCCCTCCGTCCAAGCTTCTCAGGGCAGCCCCCCAGAGTCACGGATACCTTTATTTTCGTCGTGTCCTGTCCGCGTTCGCCCCCCTCGCGCCCCCCCCCCCCCCCCCCCCCCTGAGACCCAGCCCCCCTGCCCCCCCCCCCCCCCCCCCCCGCGAGCACCTTGGGTGCACCCCTCCGCCCAGGCTTCCCAGGGCAGCCCCCTGGGCCACGGAAACCTGCATTCTCGTCGCGTCGCGTCGTCGTTCGCCCCCTCGCCCCCCCCCCCCCACCCCTCCGTGCACGAGGACGGCAACCTGCACGCGTGACAATAGCACGTCAGGTCCTCCGCACACACGGCCAAGACCTCGCACGATCCCATAGCCACACTACGCAACTTCCCCGAAGCAGGTAGAAGGCGCATGTCGCCCCGCATGACCGCCTAAATCCAAGTGGACGGTATCCTATACATAACAATCCACCGCGGTCCTTCCCCCCGCTTGAAGCCTCCTTTGTTCACTCCAAACAGACCTCCCTATGCCTTCTTCTGGCCCTGGAACACCGCATTCTCCTCGAACTCAATCGGTGCCGGGATCGCCCTCTCAACCAGCACGGCGGCGACCCGCCCCCACTCGCGCGGCGACGACCACGCGCGGGGCGCGGGCGGCATGCACCCCACCTCCTCTTCAGCCTTGAGAACTGTCCTGGGGCCCAGCAACGCCCGGCGCACCCAGCCCTCGAACGCGCCCAGCACGTCGACCGACGAGGCCGCCTCAGACGGGGGGAGGCCCATGACCAGCCTGTCGAGGCCCAACGCCTCAGAAGGGCAGACCCCCCCCCCCCGCGCGGCTCACGGCCGACGCCTGCAGCTCCGAGCCCCAGTCCATCGCCGGAAAGTCGCCCCCACACTGGCCCAGGAAGATGTTGACCTCGTCGCCCAGAAGCTGCATCGCCCTAGCGCGGGTCGCCGTCGGCCGCTGGTCCGCCTGGGACAGTTTCGACGATTTCCCGCAGAGCGCGCAATGGAAGTTGAGCCCCCTGATCACCAGCGGCAGACAGTCCCCCGCCTCCCCACTAGCCATCTCCTTGACCTCCGCGCATCCGCGATGCGGCTCGAGTCCCCCGACTTTCGGCCCTTGCTGCCTTTGCCGTTCACGCCCATGCCCTTGCCTTCCCTCCTCCAGCGGGAAGAAGCTGCCGCGGCCCGTGCCCTTCTGGCCCTTGGGCCCTGACCTCCTGGCCCAACGAGGGGGCCCGTCGTCCTTCTCGTCAGGGCAGACGCACACCCGTCGAGGTGAGGTCGGCCCCCTCGGCACACCACCTGGGGGCGCCGTGGCCTTCGGCAGCGGCGAGCCCCCGCCCCCATCGAAGGGCGAGGGGGCCCTCGGCGCCGCCAGAAGCGAAGCAGCCTCTGAAGCAGACTGGCCGTGCAGCTGCTCGCCGACATGCTTCGCCGCGGCCCTTGCTCTGCTTCGTGCTCCGCCCGCCTGTCCGCGAGGGCCGAGAGCCGATCTGCGGCGGCCCATCGGCAGGCTCGTCTCTTCGCCGCGGGAGACGACCCCTGCGCGGCTGCCCCCTGCGGCGGCGACGCACGGAGAGGCGGCGCCCCGCCGCCCGGCCGTGGAGAGGGGGGCCGCGTCGAATCTGAGCCCCCCCTCTCGGCCCCACCCCCAGGGGCGCCTCTTGCCAGCCGTCGCCAACCGCCCGTGCCGCTTCGTGTCCTCCACGAAGCCACTCACGGCCTCACGCACCTCGCTGGGCTTCGCCAAGCTCGAGCCGACGTCCGTCGACACCTCCACGTTCCGGGCGATCTGCCATCGCCCGTCCTTTGTCGCCTGCTCGATAGCCGCCAACCTCTGCATCAGGATGCCGCCTAGCTCCAGCAATCGTCCTGCCATCAAGGCGTCGACGCACTCCCCGATCACCGCATCTCCTCGACGCTCCGCAACCCCGTGGCATGCGGCGGGTGGCGACCATGCCAGACAGACGTGATGCACTGCACCACCATGCTCCCCATCTCGCTCAGGTCCGCCTCACTGGAGGCCCCTCCCCTCTGCGCCAGAGGCTGCTTGATCTGCTCAAGTCCCGACGCCAGGAGGGCACCAGGCTCGCAGCGACTCGCAGCTCAAATCTGGCGGCCTGAATCAGGGGGAGGGGCCTCGCTAAAACTCGACGACCCGCTGAGCCTCTGCCCGCCGCACCAGCATCGCGCCGATGTCGCGCTTCCCGAGCAGCTCAGCCCTAGCGCGCCCCCGTTCCCTCCTGAGCTCCTTCGCCTTGTCGCCGTCGGGCGCCGCCACCGCGCCCGCTGCCGGCACTGCACCGTCGCCATCCGCCCTGCCGTCTGCAGCTCCGCCTGCACCCACCAGCTCTGTGTCCTCCTGCGTCGCAAGCAGCACAAGCCGCCGCGACACCCGCTGAAGCATCCATGAACCCTCCCGGCACACCTCCTGCCAGGTCCACACCGCCGAGAGCAGCAGGGGCGGTGGCGCGGAAGGTGTCAACGTGCACTGTCGGCCGTCCAAGCCACGTCACCAGCGGAGCGCTCCGACTGGCAGCACAAGTTCACAGGTGGATCGAACCATGGCTGATCCCGAAGAGCGCCTGCAGCTTCGGACGGTACCCTGAAGCCGTCGTCGACACATACTGCACCTCAACGAAAGACCCTTGGGCGTCCGCAGGCCACGCTCCTCGGACACGGAAAGCTTCCGTGCCAACCGGGGTGCCCTGCCCATCCTGCAGCACCACCTCCAGCGAGCACCCTGGGTAGGCCAGCGGACCAAAACGCCCGTGGATCCACTGGCCGCACAGCGACGCGCCTGAGCACCCGCCTCCAGGCGCAGCCAGCTCTCCGCCAACGCCAGCGAGCCTCAGGAGCCCCCTCATCGGACCTCCGAAGGCGCCTTCTGGCACCACGGGCGGAAGGCCTGGTGCAGCGGCCCCCGCGGCCATCGGCACGGCGCCCACAGCTCCTGCTCCTCGAGTTCCTCCGGCTCTTGGCGGGGCAGCGCCTGGGCCTGCCCCTGGCACTCCCAGCACGGGGACCGGGGGGCATCACGGCAGGCACGGCTGCACCTCCGGCGCCCACGGCGCCAGCCTCGCCTCGCTTGACGGCTGGCGGCTTGCCCATGCCGCCCATGCCCCCCATGCCAAGCTTGGCCACAGCAGCAGCTGCCTTGGCCTTCCCGACCTTGGGAGCAGGGGCGGACCGCCGAGCCTGCCCAGCATCGCGGGAACCATCTCTGGCGCAACTCCTGGCGGCCCACCAGCGAAGCCGCCACCAGCACCAGCGCCACTGCCGATGCCCAGCAGCCCACCAGGGGCCCCTCCGCCTGCCACGGCACGCAGCATCAAGAGCTGCAGCTGCAGGCGAGGGGGCAGCGGGGGACAGGGAGGAGGCACAGATGGCCACCCGCTGCCCTATGGGCCGCTCAATCTCGCGCGTCGGGCGTTCCACCTCTTCGAACGGTCTCCGAGCGGCGCGGCAGGCGGACCGATCGGGTCCTATCGATCAACAAGAATCCTCGCCCGCGCCTCTGGTGGCGAGGGATCCCTCTCCACCTTAAGCCGGAGCAGCTACATCCCGAGATGCTGGAAGGATGCAGAGCGGGAGCGGGAGGACAAACGGGTCACATCACCCACGGGACCCGATGATCTTTGGCGCTCCGCGCGGGTTTATTCGATCTGCGCTGACTCCCTCCATGGCGCGAGGAGCGCGACACGGGCAGCGCCAGAGGCGCCGCCAGAGGGGCCCAGCGCGGATCCTAGCAATCCGCGCGAGACGCCGAAAGCTTATGTTTATGGAGTTTCCTTCTTCGAAACACCACAAGATGGTTGGAATCCAAGCGTGTCTCGCTGTGACGGAGCCCGATCCCGCCACCACCGTTCCATGGCAGGGTCACCGGGCCTGACTCGATGATCCTCAAAACGTGCTGGCGCCAATGTGCGCTTGTCCACCGAAGCTCCTCAACACGATGTAGGCGACGTAATGAGGGCCGACACGAGCTGCGTTCCGTCGGCGGAGCTGATGGGGACAAACACACTTTTGATTCGCGGGTCGACAGCGCACCTCTTCCGGTCGAAGCTAAGCGGGCCGCGCGAAGCTTGAACTAACAAAGAGGGGGAGGAAGGGGGGAGAGCGCAGCCTCAGGGCGAGGCCGGGAGGAGGCAAAGCCTCGGGATCAGGCGGTGCCGAAGTCGACGTGCTTGCAAAGGCGCGATCGGGGCAAACACGCACTGATCCAACACACGTCCTGGAGGGGCAGTGTCAGGGGGGCAGCGGCTCGAGGAGGGAAATGTCGAGCTGGAAGCGGCAATGCATCGCCGATTGATCGCCGCCAGGCCTCAGACCGTGGTACCGCGCGGTTCTAGGCGGGTTAAGCTGTTGGGCCTTTCTCGGCGATGAGAAGGCGATTGGAGGTCGAGGCTTCCCCCCCTGAGCCTGTCCACTGGCGGATTGGGGTCCACAACGCGGGGCTCCGGCTGCCGTTCGGGACGATCTGGGCACCCCCAGAACGCTCTCGGCGAAGCGCAGCCGTGGAAAGGTATCCCTGGCTGGAACGCTGCCGAGAACCAACGAGAACACCCGAAAATCTCTATGCTCGAACCTCGAAGCTTCGAACCTTCCCCTGAGCCTATCCACGTTGCCCCTGAGTTCCTTGCTGGGGCCACCAGGTCTGACTCGCCGGGCCATCCCAAATGCCCGCACCCGCGGCAGGGCTGCAGTCGCATCACCGTGTCAGCCACCCCAGGCATCAGCCCCGTGGCATGCCCAGGAGCCGCACCACACCCGCGGGCGCCCGCCGAACAGTCACCATGCTACCTCGAGGAGCGCCGAAGAAGGAACGGACGGGCTTCTCCGGCGACGGGGAGCGTCGGCCACGAGCAGGTCCCTTGGCCCAGAGAGAAGGAGCGGCCCGAAAACGGGAGCCCCTCGCGAGCCCCGAGTGGTCCTCGGCTCAGCGCCGCGACTGCAGTGGGGGCGGGCACGGGGCAAAACTGGAATGGAGCAGCGTGCTGCAGCATCAGTGGAGCTTGCTGGGTCTGCCTCGGCCCTGCTCCTCTTCTGGAGAGGCTGCACCTCGCACGGGGGGGTGTAGGGCAGAAGACGGCGATCGGCTTCAGCATATCCTCCAGAGGCTGGAGTGGTCGACGCCGTGGTCTCGGTCGACTTTCGGACTCAGGTCGCAGATCGAGAGAGTCGACTCCGTGGCGCTTCGTCGTCGTCCTCCCCGACCCTTCTCGCCACATGAATAATCAAATCCGCCGACCCCTTGTGGGTCTCTAGGCGTGTGAGATAGTTCCCCCCCCTATAGTCCCCCCCCCCGGACCCCAAACCGGCGATTTGACCCCCCCCCCCCGGGCCCGGGACGAGCCCCCCCCCCCGGCCCCGGACGAGCGCCGCCGGGCCCGGGACGAGCGCCGCCGGGGCTTTTCCGGGTTCCAGGAAGCCTCAAGACGGGCCAAGATGGCCCCAAGAGGCGTTCAAGACGGACCACGGGAGCTCCGAGACGCCAAACGAGCGCTCCAAGACGCCCAAGATGGCTCAAAGACGGGCTAAGAAGCCTCCAAGACGGCCCAAGAGGTCCCCAAGAGGCCCCAAGACGCCTCCAAGATGCGTCCCACGAGGGTCCCTAGACGCAAAAATTGGCCCATTCCCTTCGTAAAACGTACATTTTTTACGAATTCGCTTTTTTGGTTTTTCCGACGCTCCCAGACGGCCCCAGACGGCCCAAGAGGCCCTAAATACCGCCCCAAGACGGTCCAAGCAGCCTCCAGGGAAGCTCTAAGGCAGCCCAACAGAGCCCCAAGACAGCCCAAGAGGCGCCCAAGATTGCCCAAGAGGGCCCCGAAGACGGCCCCAAGAGCGCTCCAGGAGCGCTTCAAGTTGCCTCCAAGAGAGCTCAATATGGTCACAGACGGTCGAAGAGCGATCAAAGACACCGACGATCGCCTCCAGACGGCCCAGGACGGCCCCAAGAGGCCCCAAGAGGCCTCCAAGATGCGTCCCAGGAGGGCCCCTCGGCGCAAAAATTGGCCCGTTCCCTTCGTGAAACGTACTTTTTTCCACAAATTTGCCTTTTCAGCTTTCCGACGCTCCCAGATGGCCCTGGAGGCCTCCAATACAGCCCCAAGGTAGCCCAGAGGCGTTCGAGCCGGGGTCATCCGAGCTCCGGTGGATCCCGGCTCGAACGCCGCCGGGGGGAGCAAAGGGCCCGAAAACGAACCAAGAGCGCACCAGAGCCCCCCACCCCCGGGCCCGGGACGAGCGCCGCCGGGCCCGGGACGAGCGCCGCCGGGGCTTTTCCGGGTTCCAGGAAGCCTCAAGACGGGCCAAGATGGCCCCAAGAGGCGTTCAAGACGGCCCACGGGAGCTCCGAGACGCCAAACGAGCGCTCCAAGACGCCCAAGATGGCTCAAAGACGGGCTAAGAAGCCTCCAAGACGGCCCAAGAGGTCCCCAAGAGGCCCCAAGACGCCTCCAAGATGCGTCCCACGAGGGTCCCTAGACGCAAAAATTGGCCCATTCCCTTCGTAAAACGTACATTTTTCACGAATTCGCTTTTTTGGTTTTTCCGACGCTCCCAGACGGCCCCAGACGGCCCAAGAGGCCCTAAATACCGCCCCAAGACGGTCCAAGCAGCCTCCAGGGAAGCTCTAAGGCAGCCCAACAGAGCCCCAAGACAGCCCAAGAGGCGCCCAAGATTGCCCAAGAGGGCCCCGAAGACGGCCCCAAGAGCGCTCCAGGAGCGCTTCAAGTTGCCTCCAAGAGAGCTCAATATGGTCACAGACGGTCGAAGAGCGATCAAAGACACCGACGATCGCCTCCAGACGGCCCAGGACGGCCCCAAGAGGCCCCAAGAGGCCTCCAAGATGCGTCCCAGGAGGGCCCCTCGGCGCAAAAATTGGCCCGTTCCCTTCGTGAAACGTAGTTTTTTCCACAACTTTGCCTTTTCAGCTTTCCGACGCTCCCAGACGGCCCTGGAGGCCTCCAATACAGCCCCAAGGTAGCCCAGAGGCGTTCGAGCCGGGGTCATCCGAGCTCCGGTGGATCCCGGCTCGAACGCCGCCGGGGGGAGCAAAGGGCCCGAAAACGAACCAAGAGCGCACCAGAGCCCCCCACCCCCGGGCCCGGGACGAGCGCCGCCGGGCCCGGGACGAGCGCCGCCGGGGCTTTTACGGGTTCCAGGAAGCCTCAAGACGGGCCAAGATGGCCCCAAGAGGCGTTCAAGACGGCCCACGGGAGCTCCGAGACGCCAAACGAGCGCTCCAAGACGCCCAAGATGGCTCAAAGACGGGCTAAGAAGCTTCCAAGACGGCCCAAGAGGTTCCCAAGAGGCCCCAAGACGCCTCCAAGATGCGTCCCACGAGGGTCCCTAGACGCAAAAATTGGCCCATTCCCTTCGTAAAACGTACATTTTTCACGAATTCGTTTTTTTGGTTTTCCAACGCTCCCAGACGGCCCCAGACGGCCCAAGAGGCCCTAAATACCGCCCCAAGACGGTCCAAGCAGCCTTCAGGGAAGCTCCAAGGCAGCCCCACAGAGCCCCAAGACAGCCCAAGAGGCGCCCAAGATTGCCCAAGAGGGCCCCGAAGACGGCCCCAAGAGCGCTCCAGGAGCGCTTCAAGTTGCCTCCAAGAGAGCTCAACATGGTCACAGACGGTCGAAGAGCGATCAAAGACACCGACGATCGCCTCCAGACGGCCCAGGACGGCCCCAAGAGGCCCCAAGAGGCCTCCAAGATGCGTCCCAGGAGGGCCCCTCGGCGCACAAATTGGCCCGTTCCCTTCGTGAAACGTACTTTTTTCCACAACTTTGCCTTTTCAGCTTTCCGACGCTCCCAGACGGCCCTGGAGGCCTCCAATACAGCCCCAAGGTAGCCCAGAGGCGTTCGAGCCGGGGTCATCCGAGCTCCGGTGGATCCCGGCTCGAACGCCGCCGGGGGGAGCAAAGGGCCCGAAAACGAACCAAGAGCGCACCAGAGCCCCCCCCCCCCGGGCCCGGGACGAGCGCCGCCGGGCCCGGGACGAGCGCCGCCGGGGCTTTTCCGGGTTCCAGGAAGCCTCAAGACGGGCCAAGATGGCCCCAAGAGGCGTTCAAGACGGCCCACGGGAGCTCCGAGACGCCAAACGAGCGCTCCAAGACGCCCAAGATGGCTCAAAGACGGGCTAAGAAGCCTCCAAGACGGCCCAAGAGGTCCCCAAGAGGCCCCAAGATGCGTCCCACGAGGGTCCCTAGACGCAAAAATTGGCCCATTCCCTTCGTAAAACGTACATTTTTCACGAATTCGCTTTTTTGTTTTTCCGACGCTCCCAGACGGCCCCAGACGGCCCAAGGCCCTAAATACCGCCCCAAGACGGTCCAAGCAGCCTCCAGGGAAGCTCCAAGGCAGCCCAACAGAGCCCCAAGACAGCCCAAGAGGCGCCCAAGATTGCCCAAGAGGGCCCCGAAGACGGCCCCAAGAGCGCTCCAGGAGCGCTTCAAGTTGCCTCCAAGAGAGCTCAATATGGTCACAGACGGTCGAAGAGCGATCAAAGACACCGACGATCGCCTCCAGACGGCCCAGGACGGCCCCAAGAGGCCCCAAGAGGCCTCCAAGATGCGTCCCAGGAGGGCCCCTCGGCGCACAAATTGGCCCGTTCCCTTCGTGAAACGTACTTTTTTCCACAAATTTGCCTTTTCAGCTTTCCGACGCTCCCAGACGGCCCTGGAGGCCTCCAATACAGCCCCAAGGTAGCCCAGAGGCGTTCGAGCCGGGGTCATCCGAGCTCCGGTGGATCCCGGCTCGAACGCCGCCGGGGGGAGCAAAGGGCCCGAAAACGAACCAAGAGCGCACCAGAGCCCCCCCCCCCGGGCCCGGGACGAGCGCCGCCGGGCCCGGGACGAGCGCCGCCGGGGCTTTTCCGGGTTCCAGGAAGCCTCAAGACGGGCCAAGATGGCCCCAAGAGGCGTTCAAGACGGCCCACGGGAGCTCCGAGACGCCAAACGAGCGCTCCAAGACGCCCAAGATGACTCAAAGACGGGCTAAGAAGCCTCCAAGACGGCCCAAGAGGTCCCCAAGAGGCCCCAAGACGCCTCCAAGATGCGTCCCACGAGGGTCCCTAGACGCAAAAATTGGCCCATTCCCTTCGTAAAACGTACATGTTTCACGAATTCGCTTTTTGGTTTTTCCGACGCTCCCAGACGGCCCCAGACGGCCCAAGAGGCCCTAAATACCGCCCCAAGACGGTCCAAGCAGCCTCCAGGGAAGCTCTAAGGCAGCCCCACAGAGCCCCAAGACAGCCCAAGAGGCGCCCAAGATTGCCCAAGAGGGCCCCGAAGACGGCCCCAAGAGCGCTCCAGGAGCGCTTCAAGTTGCCTCCAAGAGAGCTCAATATGGTCATGAGCTTAGGCTGCTACCCGTGCCAAGATCCATTTTTCTTCGGCATGCTCCGCTGCTTCGAAGCAAATCAAGAGAACGAGCGGCGGGCGGTGACAGGGCAGCTCGATGGAGCTGACCTGAACGGACAGAGCGAGCGGCATTCAAGACTCTGAGCCCCCTGGGTTGGCGAAGTGACGCCCAGGTAGGAGGAAGATGGGGAAGGCTGGCGGGTCCTGGAAAAAACTTGAGCATAAGTACAACATACGGCACTGAACGCAGCAACAGATCATTAATGTGCAAGCACAACGCATGAGCTTAGGCTGCTACCCGTGCCAAGATCCATTTTTCTTCGGCATGCTCCGCTGCTTCGAAGCAAATCAAGAGAACGAGCGGCGGGCGGTGACAGGGCAGCTCGATGGAGCTGACCTGAACGGACAGAGCGAGCGGCATTCAAGACTCTGAGCCCCTACCCACTGCCATCAAGTGTCTTGGCCTTGGCCACCACCAGCACAGCAAGATCTTCGCAGAGCGCCGCAGGGTAAGGACACGCCCTCGAAGTCCAGAACACACCGAGAGGGTCTTTACCCTTCAGTGTTATGTGTGCCTTACCCGTTGCACTACACCTTTTTTGACAGCCTGTACACAGGCGGAGGGACGGCTGCGCTGGCAGCCAATTGAATAGCAAAAAGGTAGTCGACTTCTTCCAGGGGACCTGATACTGGCAATAATCAACCGACGCCCATTCGGCGTGAGCGTCGCGGGCCATGTCCAGAAGCTCCGGGACCAGCCAGAGGCGAGACGAGCGAGGATTCTCGAGGGAGAAGGGGATTCCCGCCTCGATGGCAGCAGCCAGCAGGCGCAGAACATTAGCGAGCAGACGATTGGCGATCATCACCTTCTCAGCGTCCGCC